TGACATCAAATTTTTGCAATGAACTGTCTGTACAAAAGGGAAGAAAAAAAAACAGCAGAGGAGTAACAATGACATGAATTGAATTGCAAGGGAATAAGTCAGAGATTGCGAAAGAAAAACAACAACAAAGTGCCGCAAAACTGTTTTAAGCATATCTGATAATAAAGAAAAATCTAATGAACTGTATGTTTTTACAAAAACAAATACACAGTTTTAATCACATAAAATATAGATTGTGTCTGGCTCATAAAAATCATGCTAGGTGAAAGTTGAGCAGAAGATTTCTCGAGCACAAAACGATTCAACTGTTGCATTCGATATTTACTTTTAAAGGATCATATATTTTACATCGATGGATGACATTTGTTATAATGTATTTGTATTTATCCAGTTCTCACAGTCATCAGTTGAAATCAATCATTTTTCGTGTAAAAAAAATAGAGAAATAAAGATCTTCCTATTTTTTATTCCATTCCAAGCACTACTATATCATTCTTAAAAATTGAAATAATAATTAGTAGTATCATTGAGGGTTTAGCGACAATTTGACATTAATGGGTCTCCTTCGTTTATTGTCTTAACGCTGTGAAAACTCTGTTTCTTTAGTGAATCTAAAGAAAAAGTGGCTCTGAGTGTGTTTCTAGATTGTTTTAGTGATAACTCTTTTCAGAAAGAAACGTCCGGAGAAAAAAATTCATTATTGTGAATTTTGTTGTCTTAGGTACAAGAATAAATTAAATTATTTTGTTTAAAGTGAGAAAATCTCCAACAATATGAAGATTTTTGAATATTTCTAACGAGAAAAAGCCTTTTCGATAAGCATTTTACATCGACTTTCTATTCTTACAAAGTCGTCACGGTTCTACCAAATAAAATCAAAAGTTTAGTGAAACCGATATTTTCATATATCACGGTAGAATGTAAGTTGCAACTCTTTGTCACGGTAAGTTGCTAATTTATAACAACTCGAAAGTTAAAAGTGGGCGAATGCTTTATCTGTGGGCAGGTTGTGTAGATTATATTACTAAATTTGGTTTTTGGTAGCATGAATACATTTTTTACTTTAAAATAACTTACCAAGTACTCAAGCAGTCCTTGTACATTGCAATTTTACGTATGAAAATAAATAGATATTGAGAAAAATTTTGATACAAAGAAAAAATACAAAAGATTACTTTGTTCAATAAAAAAAAGATGAAGAAAAACACAAAAGTAGGTATTATTCTACTATTTCAATAGTTTTGAGCATCTTGATAAAGATCAATCAATAAAATTATTATTTTTGGAAAAAAATAATATTAAAATAATAATTAATATTTAGTTTAAAAATTATTATTTAGTGCGAATCTCGGTGCAGATCGTTCATATTCATCTGTTGTTAATTTCTTTTCATCCAATTCATCAAACCAAGGATCAATACAACCCATAAGCATTTTCACAACATACTTAGTATACAAAAACATTTAGAACTAATCAATAAATAGAATTACACTTACATCACCATAACTGAATGGAAATGATTTTCCTTGACATGCAAGAATTTCTTTTTTTTCATTTCGATAATCATCAACAACATCAAAATTTGGAATATCTTTATCCCAATTATTTAAATATGACATGCATTCATCTTCATCTAAAGAAAAATGAAATGATTTAGTCAAATCTTTTCTTTTTTGTTTTTTTCTCTATATCAAGTTCAATTAATTGTATTGAACATTTTTTTAGTTACCTGTACAAGCAATAATTGTAATTAAAATTCTGTCTATAGGTTTGCGTTCATGTAACAAAAATTGTCGCAATTCATCGATTCTTGGTTGACCAATATCATCTGTTGGTTCTCCATCTGTAGCTAAGAGAATAAGTAATTTACGTTGTTGAATTTCGTTTCTTTTATCTTTTAGAACTTGTCGAAGAACTCGAACCATTGGTGTTGGACCTGAAATTATCTTAACAATCGATATTTTATTGAATAAATATTTATTACATGCCTTCTGGAAGTAGAGCGAACATATTAGTCAATTCTTCTGAACTCCGTACATTATACATTGGTTCACGATTAAGAAAATAAACATCTACACCATCTGGATCAAGTGTACTAGCTAAATCAACAACAATTGATAATGTTTGTTTCAGTTCATCCCCTGAAAAAATCAATAAAAGAAACCACCATAGACATGCATAGTTAATAAGATACTTTACAGCGAGTTGGCGCCTTTTTATATGGTCCAGAAACATCACCTTAAAATCAAAAACAAGAAGTTGATGAATTCGAAAGAAAAACAAAATAATAGAATAACTCACTAAGTTCTGTACTCATCGAACTTGAATCATCACAAATAAAAACAATTTCATAACCATCTAAACTATGTAACTTTGAAGCAAATGTAGCATTGACTAAAATGAAACAACGAAACTTTAAATAAGTATTTTTTTTTTGTTTTCGATTTAGCTAAGAAAAACTAAACAAACTTTCATATTGAATAAAAAGTTGCTGGAATTTTTCTAAACGTTGTTGATCGGACATGAAATTTTGTCGATTTTTCGATTGATGGCGATTATAATCGTAGACGTCCACATAATTAGCATTATCTGATGAAGGAATTGTCGTTTCCACGTTTTGTTTTTGAGACATTTTGTAACGAATAGAACCTATCTAGTGACTTAAATATGCTTTCAAAAGAAAACCGTAAAGTCAGAAATCTACAAAATTCATGAAATCATCAATTGCAATTTAGTTGCATATGATTTTATAGACAAGTAAAACAAAATGAAATATTAAAAAACTCTTACGTCGAAAGCAGAAATTTTCAGGGTAAGCTTCTTTCGTAGTCTACGCCTTGCGTGAGAAAATCTTTCGAAGCCTTACGGTATCCTATCTTTCAAAGCAGAGTAGGATACAGTGGTCCTACCGATCTTTAGTTGAAACACTCACACCATCAACTTACCATAACAATTTCTTCCAGCAAGCCAAACATAATATATGTACTGGATAACTTTTCTGTCAAAAGAAAAAAAATTAAAATAGTCATACCCTTTTGTATGGATTGTTTTTATGTATTGGCACAACAAATATTTTTTTCTGTCATATCATAAATGTTTTTATGAGATATATTAGGTAAAACAATACCAAAATTTACTTTCTGTAACGTACTAAACGAATAAAGCTTTCTTTCGTGATTACAGCGATTTTGTTGATAGGTACTTTCCACTTACTACAAATAGAGAAAGTTTCTCATGCGTATTAATGCATCGTAATTTGCATTCATATTCACTGTGCATACTTTTTATATTATTTACATTTTTTTTTCTACTTTTTTTTCTGTTCTGTTACTTCTCTAGTATGAAGTATCTCCTCAGTAAAATCAATTCGCGTCAGTAACGAAATGACTAATTTCTAACGCCACTTTACCACTACAGTGTAATACATAGATTTTCAATGTTTAACTTATTGCACAGTGAAAAGTAATCTGTTGAAAGAATTTATGGCTTATTTAATATCTATTTATTCATGATGAATAATCATCTAATTGTCTTTGTTTACTGCTTCAGAAAATTGCATCATCATTGAATATCACCTTTTGTGAAACACGAGTTGAAAATGATGTTGAAGTACAGGTGTAAAAAAGATTGGCTTTGCCTTCCACATATCGTGACAGTTGCTAATTAGAGACCACTGTAAGTTATGACCGACGTGTTTCCTCTCTAGCGATAGGAAGGTAATGTGCTGAGCAGCTACAACGACTAAATTTTCGTTCGTTCGTTACACAGAACGAAAGAAAAAGTGCAGGTATATACATACCGAAACGAATAAATATATAGAAATAAAAGAAAAAAAATATATACAAAACAAAAAAGGATATATCCAATACATTTCCTCGACTGAAAGGATACTCATGAAGGGAAAAGTTAGATGAGCTTGTATGTATGTTTGCTTGCAGTCACGAGTTCACACATGTCTGAAGGTTTAAGCACTATTTGTAATGATATTTTTTCTTATAAACCTGCACTGAAGGTATTCAGAGCCGAGGAATCCGAATCTGCGATCAGTTTCTCAAATTTGTTATTCGATTTTTTAACTAAAAAAAGGTCGTTTAAGAAAAAAAAAGATTGTTTTCAAAAAGTTTGACCAAAGGTAATCGGTGACGAGGGTTTCAAATCTGTAGTCGATTTCAGGAAATTTCCAGTCAGAAGTTTATCGTCAGAGAAAGCCTTTTTTTTATGAAACAAAGATTTTTCGTTCGATTGAAGAGAATCGTATGAAATACAATGAGTTCATTGTCTTGTAGTCATGTGCTAAGTAACGTGTTCAGATGTGTTATCATGATTTTAGACTCGATAATCTCAGTCACCTGTACCATGTATCAGTTTTTTCAGGCTGCACGTTCAGCCAATTAATTGTTTTTATGTTCGACTGACAAGTTTTATTCAGCTAGTAGTTCATTTATTGTGTTGCCATTCTTTTTTCTTATTAGCTCTTATGGTTAGGCAGAGTTGATCTACATGTGACACATTTTCTGTGATGTAAATGCGCAATCATTGGTACTTTTCGATGGAGTGTGCTTAACGTTAGTTGATGAGCTGTATGAGATCAGCTTAGTTGTAAGTTGTCATATCTAGGTGTGGTTGTCGAAGTAGATATGGGTAAGAGAAAAGTATGACGCCTACAATTCCAATCACCCAAAATTACATATAGGATCCCACTTGTATTCGTATCTATGCCCATAGGTTCTCAGACACCTACATTCAAATTTTAGCCAATCTGATTTTATTTATGTCTAAGTCTACTCGCAGTATTTTTTTTTGACTAGGTATTCAATTATTCACATATTTCGTCAGTAGAACTTCTGACTTATGGAATTTCTCGACATTATGACTCAAAAAAGATAATATAAGCAGATATATGAAAATGAGGTGACATCTTTTGTGGTAAGTGGAAAATAATCAACTATTTCTCAAATGCATTTAAATAATGGTACGGTTAGCCGTCAGTGGTGTCATGAAGGGGTGCTGATGAACGACTAGTCGCTGATATTAAAAGTGCACTGTAGATTCGCTTCAGAAAAGATCTGTATATAAGCTGGCATGTTTTTGACTTAAGAGAAGCCTGAAATGAGATACATTGCAAATCAAAGAAGATGATGTTATGGAGGAATAGGCTTAACCATGAAAGTGGCTAACCACCGATCTAAAAAATGCAACGGAGGAAGATGGCAAAGAAATTTAATTCGAAAAAATACGCTAGATCCACATGCTGACAGTTCACATTCACAGCAATGCAGGTTATTGTTCTACCTAGAGCTATTGAATCGAACAAGATGAAATATCAAGTGGTACTGTGAATGTGAATCATTAGCATGTGGTTCTAGAGGATTTTTTCGAATTAAATATCTTTGTCATCTTCAAAATGTTATATGTGTTTTTTCCAAAGATTATTAATTGACTATTAGGTTATCAACAAACATTGTTGAATAATATATGTAACGATACAGTGATAGAGCCGTTTTGTAATGGTGAAAGCTGCAACTCTTTATATTGTTTCTGTCAAAAGTTATTCACAATCAAAGGCTGTTGAGTAACTTTTGGACTACATTGTAAATCGAATCTGGAAGGCTAACAATACAAGAAAACATTATTAATATCACTATTGTTGCAATAGAATTGATTTTATAAAAAATAAAGTTAGCATTGTGATAAATAAAGGTTAGACAAGGGTAGATGAATGGAGGTTGAAGCCTCGCTACTGTTCGTCTTTTTAATTTCCATCACGTCATTTTCCTTTCAATAGAGAACTCAGCGATGTTTGCGTCACGTTATTTGTGATATGCAGTCAAAGATTCTATATCCATAACGCCTCGTTCTAATATAAGAGCCACTCATTTATTGCATTTCTGGAGGATTAAATAAAACAAAGCTAAAGAAATATGCCGCAGAAAGGATCGAATAACTCAATCTTCCTACCATTAGCAAGAACAACCACATAATGTCTTACATTTTACTACCGTAGAGATTACTCTAACAGCTCCTATTAGATGACGCTATCCTTTTCGGTCAATGATCCATCAGAGACTACTCTATATAATCTTCATTACCAGTCTTTTAGTAATCACTAAAAACATTCATCGCAACCGATCAAATATCTTTCCATTTTTATTCGCCTTCCTTTTTACTAAGGCTTCTTCCTAATGACTCAAATTACGTTTATTTTCAACGAAGAAAGAACTTAGTAGAAAGGAATAATGTCATGTCCAAATTAACCCATATATAACAAAGAGATACGCTGCAACAGTGACTAACGGATGACCCGAAAGTTTTGAAACAAAATATTTGATTGCTTTTTAGGCCGCCTGAAAGCGTTTCCAAGAATTCAAACGTTATAGGTTGAGATCAGCATATTGTGCACTTTCCCAATATGGTTTTATAAATTTTGTCTCAGTTCTTTTTCCGAGAGCAGTGAGGTAATATTTGAAAGATTCATAAAATAAATTGGCGTAGAAAGTGTAAGCTGAAGTTGCTAATGAAAATAGTTGCTCATTTTGTTCGATCTAAAACTATGTCAGACAAGCTAGAAAGAATGAATGAT